TATATATATATATATATATATATATTTAATATAGAGCCTGTTATTTACAGACAAATAATAGATTACACAACCTATAAATAAATAATAAGGCTTGAACGTGTGGTATAACTTGGATGGAGAAGATTGGTAACAAAAAGGTTTGCAGAGCAAACAGTGCAGAACTATCTTTTGTTTGTTTGTTTATATAATCATTTTTATTTGAATTTCAAAAGCACAAAAATCGGTATGTTCACTAGATATTTAACAAATAATGTAGGCCTATGTCCAAATAATGGTGCAATAACTACATACAAATAAGCTAAATTAAATGAAAATGAAATGGCATCAAAAACACATAATACATTTGTTTGGCTTCACTGATGTCATTAAATACTGTCATGTGTGTGCACACGGAGGGCAGTCGAAGTTCTGCACAAGACCACGGTCTGCTAGTTGAGGATGCCTGTTGTAAACCATACAGATGAATCAGCATTAACCACACAAGCGTAACGCATTAAAAGTCAAATGTGATTTAGTGAGCATCTTTATGGAGGCTAAATGCTCTAAATGAACCAGTTAAACCCATCTGTTGTGTAGTTAAACTAGTGGCTCTCATGCCGGATTTGGTTCGGTTTAGGCTTCACTTTCTCAATAATACTTGATTTAAATGAAAAGTTGTTACTGTGAGAGATGTTTCAGATGGAAAACTGTAATTCAGATGTCAAAACAGTTTTAACAGTCATCTGTCAGCCAAAAGGTTGACTGAGAAAGCCAGAGAAGAGCAGAAGCAGGAGACAAAGTGGTGATAAAATGAGTTTATTGAATAATCTTAGTTGCACGTTTCAGTGCTCAGACTTCATCTGAATCCAACAAGTGTTATTATAGCACAAACCACAGCAATGGAAAATGACTGCTTCACTACATCATCCTTGAAACCGAGACATTCTCTGATCTCTTACTCATGAAGACAAATATCCACTGAAAGCACACAATCAGAAGACTAAATAGCAATGGAAAAATTATTTAAATGACTAATCCTTGAATGAATCAATGATATGAGTATATCAATTGTTACAATTATTATATGATTAAATGGAAAAATTAAATTAATTAATGATAAATCCTATGTGAATGAAGAATAAATTAATTTTAAAGAGAGTTAAACAAACCAAATGTGTGGTTGCTCTCTAAAATTAATTTCTAAAGAAATGACTAAATAAATGGAAAATTGTATATTGCAGATTATATTATCAGCATAACAATTTGAGTGAAAAGTAAAACTTGAGAAAATTATCTTTGTTATTTACAGTAGACTGCAAAAAATTTCTTCCTCAGTGTTTTTAGCTTTTTTTTTTTTTTAAGTAATACATATTCTTAAATCAGTGAGATCCAGAATGAGATAAAATATTTATTCTAGTTTTGTACTAAAATTTAGTGGTTTTTTTGTTTTTTTGCTTAAAAAAAGAAAAAATATAGATTTTTATTTTTTTCTGACTCCAATGGCAGATTTTTTATTTGTTTTAAGCATAAACTTATTTAGCAAAGAGAGTCAAAGATAGGCATAGTTTGATAGAAAACTTTCTACATTTTTAGAAAATATATATTTTTTAATACTTTTGGACATTCTCATGCTGAGAAACTGCTGATGAAATATCTTTAGATCTAAGTGACGGATTATGGTGAGTATGGTGAGAATCTGCTGTAAATATTGCTGTGATTTCTGAACATGTTTTATTAAGCTATAAGCAAAACCTGACAAATTGCTGTATTCTACTCTGAGATCATTCAAATGATAAATGACACATTACTATCTGAGCTGAGTGATGTTTTTGCCATATGATTTTTGTACTATGTATTATAAATTATGAAAACATGCTTTTCTTATTTATCAGCAAATAACTCGGTACTACTTAAATTGACTACATGCAATGTAAAGTTCATACTCTAAGCTTTCATATGACACCTATTTGGTGTTGATCAAGCACTTGTTAAGAATTGCACTAAAAACGGAGTTTCTAAGCTTTAAAATGAGACCTATTTGTGTTATTCCTTTTAGTGTTTGGAGCCCGTTGGCAGTTTTTTTTTTTTTTTTTTTAGTTTCATACAAAAAATCACATATTTTCATATTTTAAGTCATTTTGCTTCTCAGGTAAATGGATCTTGATTAAAGGATGTTTACAAACATGCAAGTGACACAAACGCACAACAAAATGAACTAAAATTAAAATAGAAACCGGAAAAAAATTGAAAATAAAAACCAATTCAGAACCGTCTAAAATTACTATTCTGCATATTAAACTATAATAACATATTAACAATATTAAAATAGCATGCAGAATCATCTCACCTTCTTCTCTATGGCCTCCATCACTGCGGATTCGTCCAGATGTCCGTCTGATTTGACTGTGAATCTCACACGCTGTATTTTCCTGTTTTCGCGGCAGTAGAAAGGCAGTGGAGTCGAGCAGTTGTCATCAGCCATCAGTCCTTCAGTATTGGCTCTCGCACAATCCTCGTTTCCCTTCACGTTATCAGGCTGTCCAGACTCCCATTTCAGAAAGAACCATGATACACTTCTCTTATCCGACCACAGCCATGGGATCTTGTACAGGCCGATCCAAGCATCGTTGAGCTTCAGTGAAGAAAGTATGTTTGCGAGGAACGCGTTCTCTGTGTCGTCTGTAATGGCGGCCAGGTCTACGTAGTGTGTTCTGCAGTGCATTTGAGCATTAGTCCAGGTCATGCTCGTTTCAATGTGCTGAAACTTGTCCTGAAGTGTGTCCTGATTGTCTGCAAGGAGTAGATTGGACAGAGAAACATTCTTGAAAATGTGAAGTGCCATACAAAATTAACTATAAGTTTGTTCATAGAAAATATGGACAAACTCATCCTCAAAAAATGGCTTGGAAAAGTGATTTTATAAAGGCAGAGCTCTTTGCTCACTTTTTTGAATGCAATACATTTGTCATGCTGCACATCTGCACATTTCAAAATTTCTGGATCGACAACTTTATTTAAATGGTGGATTGAATCCAAAACTGTGATAACTGACACTGATGAACATAGCATAAGAATAAGAAAAAAAACCTCATACTATGTGTCAGAATAGTTCTGTGATTTAAGTCTGGAGTGTAAATGCAAACCAGTAGATCTGCCACTTGTTCTGTGTATGTGTTACTGTGTATTGGATAATTGCACTGTTTAGCTATATAATATGTGAGCCTGCAGCACAAAAGCAGTGTTAAGTCGCTGGGGTATATTTGTAGCAATAGCCAACAATACATTGTATGGGTCAAAATTATACATTTCTCTTTTATGCCAAAAATCATTAGGATATTAAGTAAAGATCGTGTTCTATGAAGATATTGTTCTACTGTAACTATATCAAAACTTAATGTTTGATTATTAATATGCATTGCTAAGAACTTCATTTGAACAACTTTAAAGGCGATTTTCTTAATATTTAGATTTTTTTGCACCCTCAGATTCCAGATTTTCAAATAGTTGTATCTCGACCAAATATTGTCCTCTCCTAACAAACCATACATCAATGGAAAGCTTATTTATTCAGCTAAAAATTGACCCTTGTGACTGGTTTTGTGGTCCTGGGTCACATATTAGTAATTCAATAATACAGTTTTAATTGTATCAGATCAGCTTTACTCTGCATGGAGCACTGAGAAGTCATGTTTATGTTGCTTAAATGTTTATGCTGAAAACACGCAACACATCTGTTACTGCAGAGTCTTTAATAAAACTGTTTTTAATCCAGTTATCCTTTGAGGCTGCTTATTTGTCACCTATACGGTATTGATCGTATCTTGCAATAAAGATTTTTTTTTTCTGGAAAACATGATTTAGGAATGCGTTGAGGTCAGGTTTCACTGCAAAAAAAACGATTAACTTCCTCAGTATTTTGTCTTGTTTTCCAGAACAAATGTCTAATCATCCTTGCATCAAGATACATGATTGGAGATCCAAGATGATTTAAGATGAGAGCTTTTTTTTTAACTCAAATCAAAGAGATCTATGAGTACTGTATAATTTCTTACCAGTTTGGCAGAAGAAGTTGTCTTTAGTAGAACAGTCTCTGTCACCCCATCGTCCGTTGCTATATACAGCCCCACAGGCCTCGATTGTGTTGGACAAGTCCGGCTGAAAGGAATCCCACATTGAATAGCTGATCGGCGTGAGTTGATACGACCAATGCCAAATGAATCTGTAGAAGTCGATCCAGGCGACAGATGTAAAGTTCACAGCATCTGCTGCCTCCTTTAGTTTGGCTCTGTCTTCATCGCTCTGAACTGTCGCCAGATCCGTGCATTTCTCCCTGCAGTACGATTGCGCTTCTGCCCAGGTCTTTGGCTCTTCGATCAGGACGATTCGATACAGGTCACATGAAGCCTTCGACAGGATTGCTGCTGCAGGAAAATCAATAGTGTTAAGCTGCTCTAAACCTCTGATCTGACATCAGTTTCTTTCACTGACACTCACCGAGCAAAACAACGAGTTGAATCTTGTTCTGTATCATCTTGTCTTCACAGGTTTGTTCACTGAAATAAATAAATGACAAAGTCAAGGGGATTTATTGGAAATGAGCAAGCAGACATGGCTGCAAAACATGTTCTTGCAGAAAGAATCAGTGAATGCAAAACCCACCCTTTGACATAAACCCTTTAATCAACCTGTAAATAATGATGGCAATGTGTTTTTTCGTTAGTTTAACTCATCAAATTAACCAGTTTCAACTTTGATTTGACTTGATTTTTTTAAGTTAGTTTAATATAAATTAAGTTGAACTTACTTGTACAACCAATTTGATTATACTTATATAGGTATAATAAGCTTTAAAGTTGAAGTAGGTGAATTATTTTTTCTTTTTTTACAGCCATAGAAATCCAACAAACCCCAATTTACCTGCTCTGCAGTGACTGAAGCTTGATCTTCTCAACAGTATATCAAGTGTCTTCTCTCAACAGACTTGTCTTTTACTATCTACTCAACTCTTTATACATTATGTCATGCAAAATCTTTTGTCAGTACTGTAAGTAAGATGCTAAGACTGATTTACATTCTGATTTTGCTGCAATATGAGGCTCTTTATTCAAACAGCATCGGAGAGCATAATGATAGAGCACAACTATAAAACTTATGTCACAAATTAATTGAACTCTTTTCCTTAATCTTCCTTAAGCGTAAAAGAGCAACCGTATCTAAAATGCTAGAAAAGAGAGAGTCCATAGTTTCTGTTACATCATCAAGTTTTTCTGAGCTATTGGATATGCTGAGGAATTGAGATAAGTCAGGAAGATTACTTTCAAAGCAGTCTTTTGTGGTAGAAGTGATGGTTCTAGCATACTTGTAACAAGGAGTAGAATTTACAGTTTTAGCTATATGAAGTTTGCACAAGACTAAATAATGATCTGAGATATCATCGCTTGGCTGCATAATTTCAAAACCATCAACATCAATTCCATGTGACAGTATTAAATCTAGAGTATGATTTCGACAATGAGTAGGTCCTGAGACGTGTTGTCTAACCCCAATAGAGTTCAGAATGTCTATAAATGCTGATCCCAATGCATCTGTTTCATTATCAACATGGATATTAATAATCAAATCAATGTGGAGAAAAACTAATGTCTTTGAATGGTTCCAAATAAATGAATGGAAATGTGTGTAGTTTTTCTGTCTGTCCAAATTAATGCTGATGATGTGACTGTTTGTGAGTGTTTTGTTTATTTCACGTGATTTTCAAGTACATTTTGTAGTGTTTGGCAGCTGTTTTATTACCAAAGTTTGATGAAACTCGAAAAAATGAATGTTCTGGTGGCTAACTGACAAAAGAAGAACAATTAAGTGTGACTGCTTTAATAGAAGGATTTTCACAGAATGTCTTTAATCTTTAATGCATTTTAACATTTACATTTACATTACATTTACATTTAGTCATTTTGCAGATGCTTTTATCCAAAGCGACTTACAATTGGGGAATACATAAAGCGATTCATCTTAAAGAGGCAAACAGACACAGGAAATGCTCGTAATACCAAGTTTCAGGCATTTGTTCAAATAAGTACAAGCTAGAAAGGGAAGGAATAAATAAATTCGTAGTAGTGAGTGGAAGTAGGCGGGTGCTGAGCCTGTGGCTGGTCTATATGCAAGCATCAATGTCTTGAACTTGATTCGATCCGCAACCGGTAGCCAGTGCAGGGAGATAAAGAGAGGTGTAACATGGGCTCTTTTTGGGCTCGTTGAAGACCAGTCGTGCCGCTGCATTCTGAATCATTTGTAGAGGTTTGATTGTGCTTGATGGAAGTCCAGCCAGAAGAGCATTGCAGTAGTCCAGTCTAGAAATGACAAGGGCCTGGACAAGAAGTTGTGCAGCATGCTCCGTTAGAAAGGGCCTGATCTTTCTGATGTTGTGCAATGCAAACCTGCAAGATCCAGCAGTCTTTGCAATGTAATCTTTGAAGGTCAGCTGGTCATCAAAGATTACACCAAGATTTCTGACCTTGATTTCTGACCTATTCTGATTTTAATATTTGTTGTCTGTGACAAATAGCTTAATAGTTTAAATGTCTACTTCTGTATAATGTCAAAAAAATTATAAAAAAAGCTACCCCACTACGACTGATGTTTTTGTACATGAAACTGTGCTCATTCATTTCCATCCATCTGTTCTCCAGACGGCATGTCCTCTGTAGGGTCAGACTTGACATGAAAATGTACATTTTATATCGGAATATGTTATTGTTCTGTGACACTAATTCATTTTTAGTTTTCAGTCTCTTCATGAAGTAATAATAAAACTCTTCAATGGTGTTAAAATCGCATGGCCTTTGAGCCCTCAGATGGCATTGCATAAGAAACCGTCATGCTGCCGTGTTAAATATAGCCACAGAAAACCACTGTCATTTACCACAGTCTGCCGCTGCATTAAGAAATACAACTTTAATCTCTGTTACTCTGGGAGAAAGCTATACATCAGTTCCTTTTCAGTCGGTCACTCGACATCACGTCGGATGACCGACGAATTGGGATCTCGCTTAGAGCGACCAATCTACTTCGAGTGTAAACTAAACGAGACAATGCACATTGGCATGCGATTATTGCATCCAGCTGCCGCTGATCACAGCGTGATTATAAGTAGGCAGCCGGTGCAGCGCATAATCAGCTTTTCGCATCGGAGCCGAGCGATCACATCTTTCTGCTCCTGACTACTCTACTGAGAGAAGAAGACTGAACGAACCTGGCGGTGAGCGGAAGAGCAAGAGGCCTCAGGATGGGCGACCCAGAGAGAGAGGGATGCACCTCTCCCTACCCCAGAGGAGGGCCGGGTGGAGAATCTGGTTTCCAAAAATCTCGACAGGAGAGTGGTTTTCTCTGTCTCTGGGTCCCAAAAGGGCATGGAGAGTCGCGGATGGACCAACACTCATCCTCCTCTCTCGCCAGCAGGCAGCAGCGGGCGGTTCGAGAGCGTTGTCAAAGGCCCTACTCCCGCACCCTCTGCCAAACCGTGGCACTGCACACTTAGACCACTGCACACTCAGAACCCTCTTCGGTCCACCCACGGACCGGGTCCCTGCATTCCACCTTGCTGCCCCACAGCGGCTACTCACGCACCCTCTGCCAAACCGTGGAACCAGGTAAGTGTTGCAAAGCACACTCAGACCCCTCTTCAGGTCCCTGCGTTCCACCTCGCTGCCCCACCGCGGGTATGTCGGTGGCCCTGCTGGTCCACATCAGTGAAGGCGGCTGATGCTCCTGTCTTGCGTGTGGAGATCACAGTCCTACTGGCGAAGGATGCGATAGAGCTGGTCCCTCCAGCTGATATGAATACGGGGTTTTACAGCCCTTACTTCATTGTACCCGAGAAAGGCGGTGGGTTACGACCAATCTTGGATCTGCGTGTCTTGA